TTGCTACAGAAAGGCTAACTAGTAATCCAAAATAATAAAATCTTAATAACAATAATAATACTTAAATGTTACTATTCACTGAACCAGCAGTTCTATTATTTTCTGAGTTTAGCATTACAATATGGCAGTTTATTCCAAGGATATAAGAGCTCTTGTCAGCTGACCAACTATCAGACAATCACAATTAATATCACCATCTAGTGGAGGAAAATTCCTTTTACTAAAAGATCCTAATCAACTTCACAAATCTCAAACTAGACATAGTAATTCCTTCACTTACTCCAGTAGAGTTAAATGCTGGGGGTTGTCTGACAGTTCATTGCAACAGCATAAAGTCATTTTCCTCGGCCAAATGAGAAAGAGGGTATTGTCCAAACTGGAATTTGAGCTGAAAAAGAATCAGTAATCTTACTCCATTTAAAACTGTCAACTTTTATGACCATATGTAGCTAAAAGAACTGTTTTAAATTCAAATGAGTAAGTGGCATGGATCCTAGATACCATGTTACAAGACCTTAAGTTTCCTGAGTGAGAAGAGAGGCACTGGTCCAGTGATGTTTAAAAACTACTCAGAAAAAAAAAAAATGGTTCTTTCCATTTTGGCCACTATGAAGGTGAATGTAGATTTCTGTGGCCCAGCTTTACTGATTGTGTGGGGCATCGTCTCACAGACTGTTGGCTTTTCCTTAAATTATACCCAGGCCTAATAATAGTTATACATTCCTTATGTTTATGGCTCTTACACAATTGTAAAAACCAAAGCAAGTGTAGAAAATTAAAGGCAAACTAAGTGATTAAAAAAAAAAAAAAACTACTCAGACTGCTCCTGCTAAGTAAAGGAAGAGACGCCAAGTGAAATCTACAAGGGTAATACTGCTAGAACAGCATCACCAACTTGCAATCTCTGATTGTAAGAGAGAATATCCCACTTGGAGGACAACATTTCTGGGAAGAGTGATACCTGAATAGTACTTTTGAAGCCTTGTATCTGTTTAAAAACTCATTTTCAGTAAAGTTGCAACATCCAACCATTACTTGCTGCCAAAATTTCCCATCAGCAAAATAATATCTCATTTACATAATAAAAATGACATCAAGAAATGGTAGAAACATTGCATTAAAGACAGGTGATCTGGGATTAAATTTCCCTTTATCTACCTGTAGTTATGTGACCAAGGACATAAACGGGCTCAGTTGTTTCACACACCAAGTGGAAATAATAATACATTTGTGCCTGAATATAGATTGCACTAGTTAGTCTCTTTCGGTTCCTTC